TGGCTGGGACCCTGGGGCTGGGCCTGCAGCTCTGCGTCCCTGCAGAAGGTCTCCGAGGAGCGGTGTTCGGTTTCTGCCCCAGGCCAGGAGCCTCCCCCCGTGTGTCTGAGGTGGCGCAGGTGGCGCGGTGCCTGTCGAGCGGGAGGCTGCTGGTCGGTTGCTGATGGTGAGAGCCTTGGTCGACGCCATTGTTTTCATTGCTCAATCTGGTGAAAGTGGAGCTTCTGGCTTTGCTCATCTCTCTTGTTTGGTGTTCATTTTTTCTCGAGTATGTTCGTCCTTCCAGTGACTTTGGCTTGGACTTGCCCTTCTTCTTCCAGCTGCTCCTGGAGGAAGCCTGCACCTTTCATCTTACATCTTCTCTGGGCCAGGACCTGTGGCCTGTGCCTGCCATCCACCTCCTTGGGAGGCTGGGGCTGGAGGATGGCAAGTTCAAGGCCAGCCTGGGAATCTTAGTGAGACTGTCTCAAAACATAAAGAGGACTGGGGGTGTGACTCAGTGGCGGAGCCCTGGTTCCATCCCCAGCTCCGCAAAACAGAAACTGAAATCCACTTCCTCTCCGGGAACTGCTTTGGCTGCGCCTGCGGGTGTTGCTCTGTTGTGTTTCGCACTTGGTTGAAAGGTTCTCTCTGCCCCGTGGCCTTAGCTACAGTGGAGCGTGAAGGACAGCTGTGCCCCCGGCATGGCGCCACCTCTCAGGACCTTCCTGTCCTTGGCCCTAGGAGGTTCTCATGATCTCTAGTGAGGCCCCACATGTGCTCCCACTGTGACCAGCCGCTGTGGTCTTTACAGGCCTGTGGTCCCTGAGTTGGGGCCAGTTTCTGAAAGCATGCAGGGAGCCAGGCCAGGGCCCAGCTGGGTTGTCCTCCCCTCCTCCTGCAAGGGGACAAGATCAAGTTTCCCACACCAGGGGCCCTGGGCAGTCTTGCCACGTTCACAGGACCCCACTGGCTCTGGCTTCCCATTTCCTGTTTCCTGGTCTGGAGAGGGGCTCAGAGACGTGGCTGCATGTGGGTGACTGCATCAGGGTTTGGGGCAGAGGTGGCCCTGACCCCACTCGTCTTCAGTCCCACAGAACAGCGAGAAGCTGCAGGAGAGCCCGTGCATCTTCGCCCTGACGCCCCGGCAGGTGGAGCTGATCCGGAACTCCAGGTGCCCGCCCATCTGCCTGCAGGGCCGCCACGGTGCCCGAGAGCCACATCCCTCACGTCCAGGGCCACGTGCTCAGTGTTGGCACGTACCCTTCAGCTCCAACATGGACTCCTTGTCCCCCTTCACAAGGGACCCAAGATGCTGTGGGCGGGGCTGGGTGGTTCTGTGGGTGTTGTCCTGGGCTGCCAGGTGCTGAACAGCACCCTGGCTCCATCACTTGGCCAGGAGCTCCCCAGTTGTGACACCACGTGTCCCCGGACGTCCCCTCCTATCCCCTGGAGGCAGGGTCAGCCCAGATGAGGCACCTGAGCTATAACAGGTGGAGCAGGGCCCCCGAGAGCTCTCTGAAGCCTTCGCACGTCCAGCTGAGACACAAGCCCCGCTGGGGAGCCCTTGTCAGATGGCGTGTGTCCGGGCACTGCTGGGTGCTCCTCGCCCTGCACCCAGAGGGGTTCCCAGGAGCACCCCATCTATCTTCCAGAGACCAGCAGACACTCAGGACGGGAGGTCACGCTGAGGGCGCACTCAGGCAGAGCCTGTGTGTGTCCCATATGAGGCACTGGGTTCCATTCCCAGCACCACAAGCAAAGACAGGAGAGGTCACTTGGCCAGCTCCTCTGGGGGCCTGTGCAGGGCCAGGGTCACAACCCACGTCTGAGTCCCTGCCTGCTTATGGGTCCAAGGTCCCCCAGCCTCTCATCCTGGCTCTTGAGACTGGTCATAGCTTTTGTCTGGTGCAGTGGCCACAGAGGCTGGGTGGCCTGGCAGAGGTTGGGGACCCACTGAGCCTCCTCTTCCTGGGTTGTGAGCCTCACTGCCACAGCCCCTCCCGCTCAGGCCCCTGCTGCACGCAGCGCCTTGCAGAGCCTGCCCGGGGCATGCGCCCCTCGCCTGGGACGACTCTTCTTCCCAGCGTGGGCCAGGGTGGCTGGTGTCCTCCGGGGAGCCCCTCGGCTGCTGACGTTGGGAGGGTGCCGCTGGCTCCCCAGCAAGATGGGTCCAGCTGGCGGGCGGGCGGGCCCCTCCCCCACTGACCTCCTCTCTCCTTGGCCCGCTCGGTGCAGGGAGCTGCAGCCTGGAGTCAAGGCCGTGCAGGTGGTCCTGAGGTACGTCTGCAGCCGGGCCGCGGCCACCCGCCCTGGCCACGGCCCTCCCACCCTCACCCCGCTGCCATGTCCTCGTCACGCACTGCACCGCTGGCCCCTTGTCCCACCCTCTGACCCCTGTCGTTGTGTGGGGACCAGCAGTGGCTCCCAGCCCCCAGAACAGCTGTCCCCGTTGTTGCAGGATCTGCTACTCGGACGCCAGCTGCCCGCAGGAGGACCAGTACCCGCCCAACATCGCCGTGAAGGTCAACCACAGCTACTGCTCGGTCCCGGTGAGCCGCGGCCCTGCTCGGCAGGGGGGGCGGGGGGGACACCGCTGGCCCAAGTGCCCTGAGCAGCCGTCCTCTTGCAGGGCTACTACCCTTCCAACAAGCCCGGAGTGGAGCCCAAGAGGCCCTGCCGCCCCATCAACCTCACCCACCTCATGTACCTGTCCTCAGCCACCAACCGCATCACCGTCACCTGGGGGAACTACGGCAAGGTGAGCGGCCTCCCCTACCCATCCTGGCCTCCCCCTGGCCTGGCCTGCGGGCTGACCCCTGCCCTCTCCCCAGAGCTACTCGGTGGCCCTGTACCTGGTGCGGCAGCTGACCTCGGCAGAGCTGCTGCAGAGGTTGAGGACCATCGGGGTCAAGCACCCGGAGCTGTGCAAGGCGCTGGGTGAGTGTGGCCGGGGCCGGCGGCCGCCCTGGTACCAGGGACCCTCCTTCCTGGGCATGAGGGGTGGCCTTGGCAGTGTGTGAGCCCAGGCTTAGCAAGTCAGCTTGGGGCTGTGGCACCAGGGAGGCCGGGAGGCCTCTGCACCATGCTACGGCGGGCGGGGGGGCGGGGGAGCAGGCTGCGCCCACAGGGGCCGAGGACTTGGGGCCCTGTTCCCAGGGCCTGTGCCTCAGCGAGCCCTCAGGCTGCCATGGGTGGCTCTGGCCTGGCATTCAGGCAAGGTGGGATCATAGCTGGCGGAGGGTGACGTGCAGGGGACGAGGCTGCTGTTTCCTCCTCCCTGTGCTCACGACGCGTGCTGCTGTTAAGTAATGAAACCTAGAGCACCCAAGAGGCGCTGGGTGCCCCGGCGGGCAGGAGCAGTATGTGCTTCCTGGGTGCCCGCCAGGGGTGCCAAGCACAGGCACTCAGGCTGTGTGGCCTGGAGAAGCTGCTGGTCGTCTCTGGTGGGCATTCTTCACAAGAACAGGCCCAAGCCATCCTGGGGAGGCCTCTCCGTGGGCCTGCCTTGCAGGGCGGGGCTGGGCTGTGCGGTCCTGTCCTTGGAGGGGCAGTTGGGTGGGGCCCAACCACCTGGCCTTGCATTCTGGTGCCTGCTGGAGACACCACAGGTCCCTGGGCTTGCTCAGCCCCTTCCAGTAACCCAGTCTCGCAGGTGAGAGGGCAGGACCCTGCCCAGCCCAGATGGACCCTGGGCTCCACCCCAGCTCTCCACATCCCCTGGCCTCCAGCCTCGGAAGGGCCTCTGAGCCTCATTATGTGGAAGCCTCCTTCAGACACTCTTCCCAGCCCAGCCTGGGTCCCCACCAGGGAAGCGTCTTCTAGGAGTGAGCGCGTCCTGTGGGCTGTGACCCAGGCTGCCGTCCCTCCCCTCTGACACTGTCCTCTGTCCCCTCCACGTAGTCAAGGAGAAGCTGCGCCTGGATCCCGACAGCGAGATCGCCACCACCGGTGTGCGGGTCTCCCTCATCTGCCCGGTGAGTGGCTGGCAGGTCCCCGCACTGCTCCCTCCCAGAGCCGTGTGGCCCCGGGCATCCTCCGTCCCCCCAGGTGGCGCTGGTGCAGCTGGTGTGGGGACGAAGGCGGCAGGGCCTGGTCACCCGCCCCTCCCCGCAGCTGGTGAAGATGCGGCTCTCGGTGCCCTGCCGGGCAGAGACCTGCGCACACCTGCAGTGCTTCGACGCCGTCTTCTACCTGCAGATGAATGAGAAGAAGCCCACCTGGCTGTGTCCAGTGTGTGACAAGCCAGCTCCCTACGACCAGCTCATCATCGACGGGTAAGGCCCGGAGCCCAGGAGCAGCCAGGTGCCATGCTAGGCAGCCCCTCGTCTCCCTGGGCCCTGCTGTGGGAAGCGTGAAGCCAATGCCGTGGGCAGGGAGGGACGGCCTGGCCCCATGCGAGCAGGTGCTGGAGGCTGTGGTGTGGCCTGGGCTCCTCCCCGTGAGGTGGGCACCTGCTGGGCCAGCATTGAGCCTGCGGGAGTTGGAGGCCCTTTGCAGACAGCACCCTGCCCCTGCGCCCATGGCTGCTGGTCACGCCCTGCCTTCCTGGTGGCACTGGCCAGGGACGGGCCTTTCTGCTGGGTGGGGAGCTTGCCCAGGTCTCAAGGTTCCACACACTGCGCTTAGTTGTCCCTGGCACCTGGGTGGCTCCTGCCAGGCGCTGGCTGCACCCCCCACCTCCCGTCGCCAGAGACACTGGCCGGCAACGGTCCTGGGGTGGACTCCCTTCTGAAGCAGCTGCCCTGCCTCTGACTCTCGTGCTGCCTGTCGCTCTGCGGTGCTGCGGGAGCCCAGGGCCTCACATGCTTGGCAGGCGTCCCCCCCGAGCCCCACCCCAGGATGCCCCTCCACTGACCGGATGAGGACACTGAGCCTCGGGGGACTGCCCCCACCCAGACCCACCACTAACTTGTAGGAGGTTGTCCCAGAGGGACTCGGATCCAGGTCTCACTGGTTCTGAGCCTGAGCCCTTCTTGAAAGAGCCGAGCTGCTACTGGCCTCCAAGTGGAGTGAGGAGGCCCCTGGGACCAGGCCCGTGGGCTGGGCCTGAATGGCCGCTCTGTTCCCAGCCTGGCAGCTGTGCAGCCCGGCACCCACCCCCCCAGCCGGAGCCGGTGGTTCAGCTCAGAGCAGCCGTGGCCCCGGCTGCAGAGGCCAGCGGGTGGGCAGGTGCTGTGCTTCCCGGAGGGCCTGGTCCCGGCCACCTCAGCCCTGGTGCCGCAGGGCAGCCGGGAGGTTCCTGGGGGGTTCACCTAGTGTCTCCTGTGGCTTTGCTCGTCTGCCCTGGACCTGCCCTCAGGAGCCCTCTGCTGGCAGCTGCTGCTGCGGGAGAGCAGGAGAGGCCATGGGGACCCGGGTGAGGTTGGCAGTGGGGGCCAGCCAGGATGGAAGTGGCCCACTGGCCTTTGCAAGGGTGGCCCTGAGTGGGACAAGCTTCTCCCTTGTGGTTGGGGGCACGGTCGCCAGCGTGCCCTGTGCAGACTTACCCGTGACACGGTGCCCCCTCTGGTGGGGAGACATGCCTCGTGGCCAGTAGGTGCTGGGGCAGAACTGGAACCAGAGCCAGCTGTCCAGTCTTGTGACCTCAGGCTCTTGTCCTTGCCACGGCCTCTGTTTCCCTCCTGTGGACGGCAGGAAGTCCCCATGCAGAGGGACCCGTGTACAGTGCACGCCCGACAGGCACTACAGTGTGGGAGCGAGGTGGCCCGTTGTCCCCTGAGCTTCTAAGGGCCTGGAGCCATGTGCGCCCTCCCGAGCCTCAGTGTCCTGTCTGCCTGGAGAGCAGGCCACAAGAGGCTCGGTTCCGACGCTGGCCTCCGCTCTGCTCGTCCTCGTGCGGTCACCTCTCGGCCGTTTCCCCGTCTGTGAAATGGGGCGTCGTGCAGTAGAGGTGGGGGTTGACGGGCCAGTGGCGACCGCCTGGTGGTGCCCAGCCCCAGAGTAGTGCTCTGATATGAGGCCACAGGCCCCCTGGCCACCCTCCAGGGTGACTGGGGACAGCCTCCTGTCTGCAACCTTGGCTGCCAGGCCAGCTGCCTGCCGGCCTCCTGGGGCCACACGTCCAGGCCTGTGCAGAAGGCCCTCCAGTCCTCCACCCTCGAGCCCTTGGGTCCGGTTAGTACAGTCTCGAAACCAGCTCTGCAGAGATGGGTGGGGAGGCGGCGAGCCCGTGGAGGCAGGAGGCCGGGGTGAGGCCTAGCCCAGCATCAGCCCCCCCCTCGCCCAGGCTCCTCTCCAAGATCCTGAGCGAGTGTGAGGACGCCGATGAGATCGAGTACCTGGTGGACGGCTCCTGGTGCCCGATCCGCACCGAGAAGGAGCGGAGCTGCAGCCCCCAGGGCCCCATCCTGGTGCTCGGTGAGTGCCGCGCCCTGCGCCTGTCCTGCGTGGCTGTGGGTGCGGCTGGCCCTGGGCGTGATGGCCGTGGTCCCCTGCTGTGCCTGTCGCAGCCTCCTGAGTGCCCATGTCCCTGTTGCCCACAGGAACCTCAGATGCCAGCGGGCTCCTGCCCACCCCCAGTGTCAACGGCGGCAGCGGTGGCACCCTGGGCAGCGCGAGCAGCGGGGCAGCCTCCGTGGGCAGCGTGGAGAACGGCAAGCCCGGGACCGACGTGGTGGACCTCACACTGGACAGCTCGTCGTCCTCAGAGGAGGAGGACGAAGAGGACGACGAGGACGAGGACGAGGAGGGACCCCGGCCCAAGCGCCGCTGCCCCTTCCAGAAGGGCCTGGTTCCGGCCTGCTGACCGGCGGCCACGTGACCTGAAATTTCCCTGGTGCTGACCACGCGGAGGGCGGGCGGCCGGGCGCAGAGGAGCAGCGATTCCTTCTCTTTTCATTGTCCGTTTGTCCTCTCCGCCCTCCCTGGCTCCTGGCACCTGCACCTCTGGACTCTCCTCTCGGGGATTAAAAAAAAGTAAAATGACAAAATCAATACGAAACAAAACTTCTCACTCTTATGGAGAAAGAGGCAAAGGAAGATGGTTCAGGAAGCTCAAAAACGAAAAAAAGAAAAAACGAAACCGACAAAAAGACGAACTCTTCCAACAAGGCCGCCCTGCATAGCCCGCTGCGGCCGCCAGGCCCCGGGAGGGCAGGGGCTGCGTGGGAGGGACCCAGGAGCCTGGCCGCGACCATTCCAGCTGGGGCCTGGCCGTGGGGGTGGCGGCCCGGCGACCACCGCAACTGAGCGACATGCGTCTGTCCCCTTGCTTTGCTCTCCGCGATGCGTCCTCCCTGGAGACCCTCGCCGCGCCCACAGCGCTGGGCTCTGAAGCCATGGGTGGGGCGGGCGGGTCGCCGCAGGTGGGTTGTTTTTGAAAGTGCAATAACTTGGTATCTTGAAGCCCTGGCGGTGGCGGTGACCAGCGCCCCCGGGAGGCGGCCCCGGTGCGGCACCGTGTGGCGTGGGGGGGTCAGTTTCTAGCCAGCTACCTCGGTAACTCCAATTCAGGTTCACTTCCCTACGGAACAGCACAGATGTCCACCGCCAGCCCCGCCGCGCCCCGGGCAGGGAGGCCGTGGCGTCCGAGGGCGGCAGGTCTCTTGATTTGGGTTGGTTCCCCTCCCGCCTGGCCCCGGGCTCCCTCGCCCACCCCGGAGCCGGCGCCCCCACGCGGCCCCAAGGCAGCGGCAGAGGGTTCCCCCTGCGCTGCGGGCCCTTCCCGCTGCCCTGGTCAGGAGGCAGGGTGGGGCCGCGGCTGGGCGTCAGGACTGCTGTATGAACTCCCGCCGCCCGCGCTGCCACAGCGAGCCGCTGTTTTCTAATATTTGTATTCTAATTTAATTGTTTTTTAAAAATGCAAATAAAACGGTCAAGGTGAAGCCACCGAGGCCTGTGCGGTCTGTGCCCTTTCTGTGTTGGGGGCCTGGGGACACCAAGGGGCCTCTCCCCTCCCCAGGTGCCTGTCCCCTGGGCCAGGAGGCTGGGTGAGGGGTGCCTGCCCAGGCTTCTCGGGGTGGAGAAGGCAGCGGGCCCGCCAGGTGCCGTGGTCACCAGGGCAGAGCTGGGACACGGGCAGCAGCCAGTGCTGGCCAGGGTGAGGACCGCGCCCACAGTAGCCACCATGGGAGGGGGGCAGCGGCCCTGAAGAGGACAGGCCAAAGGTCCGAGCACATCCCACGGACGTGAGTTCCACAGGTGGACACCCAGGCAGTCCATGTGTACACACAGGAGTGTCCTCGGCCAGAGCAGGAGCAAGCTGATGGCTGCAGTGTGGACAGACCTGAGGACTCTGCTCAGTTGGAGCCAGATACACAGGCCACCACGCGTGACCCAATGACAGGACAGAGTCCAAGATGGACGTGGACCCACGGGTGCTGGACTGGGGAGGGATGGGGGAGTGCTCATGGGGACAGGCTTCCTCTTAGGGTGGTGGGATATTCTGAACCGGAGAGCCATGGCCACACAACTGGTACCAGAGACCACAGGCCTCAAGGTGAGCCGCACGCTGCCGAAGCCCAGCGCTCCCTCCTGTCCCTTGTGCCCGTGGTGTGGCCTGGGCCTGTGTGCAGCAGGTTCAGCATGGACCAGCCTGGCTCAGCAGATGGGCGAGTGCCGGGAGGGCAGCCACAGGGTCAACATGAGCACCCTGGTGGCGTGTCCAGGCCAGAGCTGGGCCTGGCCGACTCCCACTGACAGGGAGCCAGGGGTCTGACCAGCTGGGTTGGCCTGGGCAGATCCCACCAGCCATCCGGCCCGTCCTAATGGTGGGAGGGCAGGAGGCAGGAGAAGGGGTTCTCCCTGGGGTCCTGCTGTTTGTTGACCCCCAGCCCAGAGGGTGCGGACAGCAGCCCAGGACCCCCTCCCCAGCGTGTGGGGTGCAGACCCATCTTCTCACGGGAGGTGGGAACTTGGCTGGGGCCCGGCATGGGGTGGCACTTCCTGGGCCTCAAGTGGGTACCAAGACCACCCAAGCCAGACCCTCCCAAAGCCTGGGTGCTGCAGATGGCCAAGGTCAGGGCTGTGCAGATTCCACCCTGACCCCCAGCCAGTTCTCACCTGCCCACATGCTTGCCGCTGTCCCTCGGGCCCTGGTGTCACCTGCCCTGGCCCAGGTCCTGCCTGGGCACCCACCACCCATCCTGACCCTGAGGGACCAACTGCCCAAGCTGGGCAAGAAAAGTCTGGCTGGAGCCAGAGTCGTTGTCGCAGGCCCCCCGCCCCCCCGACTCCCCCACAAAACACAGAGGACACCAAGATCAGGCAAGACGCTGAGCGGTCATAACAGGCTGCGTTTAGTGGTTGTTTTATGTACAAGAAAAATGATTTTTTTCTGGTTTTTTCATCATCTTTTGCCTTTTTGTTTTTTTTTCTTACTTTAAAGCTTTCCCCCCACCCCCCAAAAGTGCATTTTTATCAATTTTTTTTTTAAATCTCCCACACTTATAAAGACTCTCAAGTACAGTCTATGGAATGTCTGCTGTGCTCTGTACCCAGCGGGCACCGCCCTGCCCCACTCACAGGCCTGGCCCCCGTGTCCAAGGCACCTCGTGTCTGGGCGGGGGACCTGGGCAGCCCTGCCCGCCCGCCCGCCCGCCCGCCGCCCTCACCAGGGCCCACAGCACCCCTCCTGCTCCTGAGCGGCGCAGCCCTGTGGCAGGAAGCTGCCTTGCCCGCCCGCCGCCCCACGTACATCTAGGGTTAGTGTGAGCTCGTCTCAACTGAGATCCGGCCCGGGGCCGGGCCCCACCTGACCCGTCCTGTGCCAGCCACCCCCACCTCTGGGGAGCTGCTTCCTCAGCTTAAATAACTTTTTAAAATAAAACTGCAAATATAAATATCTTTCTTTCTCAAAAAATAGGATTTTTGCTTTCTTTTTTTTTTTTTTTTTTGGTTTTTACATTTTTTTTTTCTGTTTTTCCTTTCGGTCTGTCCCACCTCCTATAGTCCTGGTGGCCCACACTGCCCCCATCCTGGACCTGGGCCGCAACACGGCCACAGGCTGCTGCGCCCACCACCACTCAGGGGTCCAAGCAGTGTCCCTGGCCACCTAAGGGGAAGAGGCGAGGACCCTCCTGTCCCATGGTGAGGGGAAGCAGGGGGACAGCTCTGGACACACAGGGTGACACGCAGGCTGGCCCTCCCGAGTCTTACATTCACTGGGTTATGGGGTTTTTATTTTTTTGCCTTTTTTCCCCTAATCTCGGAAGGCGGGGTGGGAGGGCGAGCGAGGAGCAGCGGCTGGACGGGGCCTCTCCAGGGCTCCAGCCTGGGGCCGGCCCCACTCACACACACAGGCACCCACGCGGCCTCGCCAGGATGATGGAAAGAACATTTCACTTTTCCTTTTTTTTTGGTTTTTTTTTTTTTTTGTACCAGGCAGTTAAAAAAAAAAAAAAAAAAAAAAAAAAAAAAAAAAAAAAAAAAAAAAGAAGACAAAAACCAAACCCCAACCACCGAAGGTGAGCCTCTGGAGTCCCAGACAGCGCCCTCCTCAGCCTCGCCGTTTCCTGAAACTCGAAAATTCAGCAGTATCTTTGGCAACACTTTATCACAACCTTAATTTAAAGAATAAAAATAAAATCGATCCACGTCTATATACAGTATGTGATTGCGCAGTCGGGGGCGGGGGTCCGGCTCTGGGCCCATGCAGACGCCGCGGCCGGGCCGGGTGGCGTTAAGGCAGAGGGCGCGGGGCAGCGAAGCGGGGAGCTGGGCGGGGCTCAGTGCAATGCCCGAGGGGCTCCAGGTGAGTGGCTGGCGGGCAGCCTGGTCCTGCCAGAGTCCCGAGGGCTCTGTCCCCCAAATCTGGTGGCCTCTGTTGGCCAGGATGACATCAGTGATTTGAGTGGGTCTTATTGCGAGGGACCTGGGGCTGGGAGGGCACTCGCCCCGGGGCCTCTCTGGGGACAACGGCGGTGCGAGTGCCCTGCCTGACCTGACAGTCCTCTCTGGAGCAGCTCGCCCTGTGACATCGGGGTGCAAACAGGCCAGCACCACCCACCCCGGGCCTGCCCCTTCTGCTGGCCCAGAGGGGGGATCCTGAGACATTTGGGGGGCTGATGGGCTGGAGGGTGGGGGGGACAAAAAGTATCTGGTAGAAACAATATGAAACATTCCGCCTTCTTACAAGCTTCCCTTTAAAGACAAAAGGATGAGACAGTTGTCACAGACAGGGTGCCAGGCCACCAAGAGGGGTGGGGATGCAGGGACGCCCCTCCGCCCCAACCAAGCATGGACAGGAGGAGCCTCGGGTCTGCGGAGCATCTATGTACAGGACCCGCTAGACTGCGTGGGCAGAGGGAGTCGGAGGGCACCTGGCATCGCCCCTCCCCAACCCGGCCCTGTCCGTGGCCTGCGGCTCGGTCTGCACCGGGCCTTTGGGAGCCCGAGGTTGGGGAGAGGCAGGTGCCATCCCTCGGTTACAGTCAGTGCCTTTGAGTAAAAAGGGGGTGTGGGGGGAGGCTAAGGCCCTGGAGCAGGGACCCCCGCAGCAGGGCAGCCCTGTTGGAGGGCAGGTCCTGGGGGGCGGGAGGGACACGGGGCTGGGGGATGGTTAGTCTGGCTGGTTGGAAGGCCAGCCCTCTCTCGGGCCGTCCCTGAGCTAGGGAGTAAGGGAGGTGGGTGCCCAGGACAGAGATGGCCACCATATGGCTGCAGAGACATCTCCCAACCAAGACCGGAAGTGGGCAGAGCAGGAGGCAGGCAGAGCCCAGGACCCAGGCCCTCGGTCTGCCCTCAGCGTGGACCCGCGTAGCGGGCAGACACCTGGGGGTCTCTGGTCCCTTCCGATGGCTTCCTGACCACCCCCCTCAGCCTTGGGGAACAGACGTGGATTCTACGTTTTCGGTGGGTTTTTTATTTTATTATTTTGTACAAAAATAAATTGAGTTTTAGGAATTTCTCTCTCTCTCTCTCTCTCTTTTTTCTTTTCAACTTTTCATAGAAGTTGGTTGCAACTTGTAAACATGTTTTTAAATTAAGAGTTAAGATAAAGTACCCGTTCCGTTACAAAGTGCCAAGACTTCTAAATGTGGTTGGTGGCCTTTTTCTTTCTTTCTTCCTCTCCATTTTGTAAAATCTTGGGTTTTTATTGCTTTTGTGACACTGGAACCCCTGCCCTGCCCTTGCTCCCGGTGCCCGCCGCGGGGCCCTCGCTCCCTCGGCTCTCAGCGCCTGCCGCTGCCCGCTGCTCTGAGGAAAGTATATTATATATATATATATGTCTATATATATCTATATATAAATTTTGTTTTTTAAGGAGGAAAAGAAAAATCTAAAAAGTGCTTTAAAAACTTGGGAGAAGGGGGGGGCAGGGTCGAGACAAGTTTTGAATCTCCAAACATGGGGTTCTGGGGGCCTGGGGCGGTCCCCGAGGGGTGGTCCCAGGGCCACCGGCTCTGAGCCTAAAGGAAGGTGGCAGAGGCCGGGGGCTCCAGGCACCCCCGCCCCAGGCCTGGAAATAAATAGATCCGAGTCTCGAGGCCAGGACGTGCGGAGCTGCGAGGCCACAGGCGGGGTGGGAGGCGGGGGCGCTGGGGACAGCGAGGGGGAGACCCCCCCTTGGTAAGTGCCCTGAGGAAGGAGGGTGGGGAGGGGACGGGCCATTTAACGTCCGCTCAGAGCAGACAGAAATCATTTAAGGTCTCGTCTGAAAGACGCTAGAACCCCGGCGGGGGGCACAGGACAGCTGGCCC